TCCGGGTGATTCGCATTTTTCTACACATGCGCAGATCGTTTCTCGTTTCCGAGAAAAAATGACTCTAAACTCCCCGGAGGGGCCCGCTTCAAAGGGGATCGGTCGCACGTTTGTGTGCCTTTGGAGCTAAAAACCATCCTGAATGGTGCGTGGGGGTATGACAAGCGGGACGGTGCGAAAAAACTCTGGGTGATTCGCATTTTTCTACACTTGTGTGGATCGTTTCGCGTTTCTGAGAGAAAATGGCTCTAAACGCCCCAGAGGGGCCCGCTTCAAAGGGGGCCGGTCGCACGTTTGTGTGCCTTTGGAGCTGAAAACCATCTTGAATGGTGTGTGGGGGTATGACAAGCGGGACCGTGCGAAAAAACCCCAGGTGATTCGCATTTTTCTACCCCTGTGCAGAGCGTTTCGCGTTTTCGAGAGAAAATGGCTCTAAACTCCCTGGAGGGGCCCACTTCAAAGGGGGTCGGTCGCACGTTTGTGTGCCTTTGGAGCTAAAAACCATCCTGAATGGTGCGTGGGGGTATGACAAGCAGGACGGAGTGAAACAACCCCGGGTGATTCGCATTTTTCTACACCTGTGCGGAGCGTTTCGCGTTTCCGAGAGAAAATGGCTCTAAACGCCCCAGAGGGGCCCGCTTCAAAGGGGGTCGGTCGCACGTTTGTGTGCCTTTGGAGCTGAAAACCATCCTGAATGGTGCATGGGGGTATGACAAGCGGGACGGTGCGAAAAAACTCCGGGTGATTCGCATTTTTCTACACCTGCGCTGATCATTTCGCGTTTCCGACAGAAAATGGCTCTAAACTCCCCGGAGGGGCCCGCTTCAAAGGGGGTCGGTCGCACGTTTGTGTGCCTTTGGAGCTGAAAACCATCCTGAATGGTGTGTGGGGATATGACAAGCGGGACGGTGCGAAAAAACCCCAGGTAATTCGAAATTTTCTACCCCTGTGTGGAGCGTTTCGCGTTTCCGAGAGAAAATGGCTCTAAACTCCCCGGAGGGGCCCGCTTCAAAGGGGGTCGGTCGCACGTTTGTGTGCCTTTGGTGCTTAAAACCATCCTGAATGGTGCGTGGGGGTATGACAAGCGGGACGGTGCGAATAAACTCTGGGTGATTCGCATTCTTCTACACTTGTGTGGATCGTTTCGCGTTTTCGAGAGAAAATGGCTCTAAACGCCTCGGAGGGGCCCGCTTCAAAGGGGGTCGGTCGCACGTTTGTGTGCCTTTGGAGCTTAAAACCATCCTGAATGGTGCGTGGGGGTATGACAAGGGTGACGGAGCGAAAAAACCCCGGGTGATTCGCATTTTTCTACACCTGTGCGCAGCGTTTCGCGTTTCCGAGAGAAAATGGCTCTAAACTCCCCGGAGGGGCCCGCTTCAAAGGGGGTCGGTCGCACGTTTGTGTGCGTTTGGAGCTGAAAAACATGCTAAATGGTGCGTGGGGGTTTGACAAACGGGACGGTGCGAAAAACCCCCGGGTGATTCGCATTTTTATACACCTGTGCGGATCGTTTCGCGTTTTCAAGAGAAAATGGCTCTAAATGTCCCGGAGGGGCCTACTTCAAAGGGGGTCGGTCACACGTTCGTGTGCCTTTGGAGATAAAAACCATCCTGAATGGTGCGTGGGGGTATGACAAGCGGGACGGAGCGAAAAAACCCCGGGTGATTTGCATTTTTCTACACCTGTGTGGAGCGTTTCGCGTTTCCGAGAGAAAATGGCTCTAAACGCCCCGGAGGGGCCCGCTTCAAAGGGGGTCGGTCACACGTTTGTGTGCCTTTGGAGCTGAAAACCATCCTGAATGGTGCAGGGGGGTATGACAAGCGGGACGGTCCGAAAAAACTCCGGGTGATTCGCATTTTTCTACACCTGCGCTGATCGTTTTGCGTTTCCGAGAGAAAATGGCTCTAAACGCCCCGGAGGGGCCCGCTTCAAAGGGGGTCGGTCGCACGTCTGTGTGCCTTTGGAGCTGAAAACCATTCTGAATGGTGCGTGGGGGTATGACAAGCGGGACCGTGCGAAAAAACCCCAGGTGATTCGCATTTTTCTACCCCTGTGCGGATCGTTTCGCGTTTCCGAGAGAAAACGGCTCTAAACGCCCCGGAGGGGCCCGCTTCAAAGGGGGCCGATCGCACATTTGTGTGCCTTTGGAGCTGAAAACCATCCTGAATGGTGGGGGGGGGTATGACAAGCGGGACGGTGCGAAAAAACTCCGGGTGACTCGCATTTTTCTACACCTGCGCTGATCGTTTTAGCGTTTCCGAGAAAAACTCCCCGGAGGGGCCCACTTCAAAGGGGGTCGGTCGCACGTTTTTGTGCCTTTGGGGCTGAAAACCATCCTAAATGGTGCGTGTGGGTATGACAAGCGGGACGGTGCGAAAAAACCCCAGGTGATTTGCATTTTTCCACACCTTTGCAGAGCGTTTCGCGTTTCCGAGAGAAAATGGCTCTAAACTCCCCGGAGGGGCCCGCTTCAAAGGGGGTCGGTCGCACGTTTGTGTGCCTTTGGAGCTGAAAACCATCCTGAATGGGGCGTGGAGGTATGACAAGTGGGACGGTGCAAAAAAACCCCGGGTGATTCGCATTTTTCTACACCTGTGCGGATCGTTTCGCGTTTCCTAGAGAAAATGGCACTAAACGTCCCGGAGGGGCCCGCTTCAAAGGGGGTCGGTCGCACGTTTGTGTGCCTTTGGAGCTAAAAACCTTCCTGAATGGTGCATGGGGGTATGACAAGCGAGACGGTGCGAAAAAACCCCGGGTGATTCGCATTTTTCTCACATGTGCGGATCGTTTCGCGTTTCCTAGAGAAAATGGCTCTAAACGCCCCGGAGGGACCCGCTTCAAAGGGGGTCGGTTGCACGTTTGTGTGCCTTTGGAGCTGAAAACCATCCTGAATGGTGTGTGGGGGTATGACAAGCGGGACCGTGCGAAACAACCCCATGCGATTCGCATTTTTCTACCCCTGTGCGGATCGTTTCGCGTTTCCGAGAGAAAATGGCTCTAAATGCCCCGGAGGCGCCGGCTTCAAAGGGGGTCGGTTGCATGTCTGTATGCCTTTGGAGCTGAAAACCATCCTGAATGGTGCGTGGGGATGTGGCAAGCGGGACGGTGCGAAAAAACCCCGGGTGATTCGCATTTTTCTACCCCTGTGCGGATCGTTTCGCGTTTCCGAGAGAAAATGGCTCTAAACACCCCGAAGGGGCCCGCTTCAAGGGGGTCGGTCGCACGTTTGTGTGCATTTGGAGCTGAAAACATTTCTGAATGGTGCGTGGGGGGATGACAAGCGGGACGGTGCGAAAAACCCCAGGGAGAATGGGGCGGGGTGATGGAAAGCGGGAGAATGGGGCGGGGTGATGGAAAGCGGGAGAATGGGGCGGGGCGATGGAAAGTGGGAGAATGGGGCGGGGTGATGGAAGGAGGGAGAATGGGGCGGGGTGATGGAAGGAGGGAGAATGGGGCGGGGTGATGGAAAGCGGGAGAATGGGGCGGGGTGATGGAAAGCGGGAGAATGGGGAGGGGTGATGGAAAGCGGTAGAATGGGGCGGGGTGATGGAAAGCGGTAGAATGGGGCGGGGTGATGGAAAGCGGGAGAATGGGGCGGGATGATGGAAAGCGGGAGAATGGGGCGGGGTGATGGAAGGAGGGAGAACGGGGCGGGGTGATGGAAAGCGGGAGAATGGGGCGGGGTGATGGAAAGCGGGAGAATGGGGAGGGGTGATGGAAAGCGGGAGAATGGGGCGGGGTGATGGAAAGCGGGAGAATGGGGCGAGGTGATCGAAAGCGGGAGAATGGGGCGGGGTGATGGAAAGCGGGAAAATGGGGCGTGGTGATGGAAAGCGGGAGAATGGGGCGAGCTGATGGAAAGCAGGAGACTAGGGTGGGGTGATGGAAAGCGGGAAAATGGGACGGGGTGATGGAAAGCGGGAGAATGGGGCGGGGTGATGGAAAGCGGGAGAATTGGGCGGGGTGATAGAAAGCGGGAGAATGGGGCGGGGTGATGGAAAGCGGGAGAATGGGGCGGGGTGATGGAAAGCGGGAGAATGGGGCGGGGTGATGGAAAGCGGGAGAAGGGCGCGGGGTGATGGAAAGCGGGAGAATGGGGCGGGGTGATGGAAGGAGGGAGAATAGGGCGGGTTGATGGAAAGCGGGAGAATGGGGCGGGGTGATGGAAAGCGGGAGAATGGGGAGGGGTGATGGAAAACGGGAGAATGGGGCGGGGTGATGGAAAGCGGGAGAATGGGGCGGGGTGATGGAAAGCGGGAGAATGGGGCGGGGTGATGGAAAGCGGGAGAATGGGGCGGGGTGATAGAAAGCGGGAGAATGAGGCGAAGTGATGGAAGGCGGGAGAATGGGGCAGGGTGATGGAAGGCGGGAGAATGGGGTGGGGTGATGGAAGGCGAGAGAATGGGGCGGGGTGATGGAAAGCGGTAGAATGGGGCGGGGTGATGGAAAGCGGGAGAATGGGTCGGGATGATGGAAAGCGGGAGAATGGGGCGGGGTGATGGAAGGAGGGAGAACGGGGCGGGGTGATGGAAAGCGGGAAAATGGGGCGGGGTGATGGAAAGCGGGAGAATGGGGCGGGGTGATGGAAAGCGGGAGAATGGGGCGGGGTGATTGAAAGCGGGAGAATGGGGCGGGGTGGTGGAAAGCGGGAGAATGGGGCGGGGTGATAGAAAGCGGGAGAATGGGGCGGGGTGATGGAAAGCGGGAGAATGGGGGGGTGTGATGGAAAGCGGGAGAATGGGGCAGGGTGATGGAAAGCGGGAGAATGGGGCGAGTTGATGGAAAGCGGGAGAATGGGGCGGGGTGATGGAGAGCGGGAGAATGCGGAGGGGTGATGGAAAGCGGGAGAATGGGGCGGGGTGATGGAAAGCGGGAGAATGGGCCGGGGTGATGGAAGGAGGGAGAATGGGGCGGGGTGATGGAAGGAGGGAGAATCAGGCAGGGTGATGGAAGGAGGGAGAATGGGGCAGGGTGATGGAAAGCGGGAGAATGGGGCAGGGTCATGGAAAGCGGGAGAATGGGGCGGGCTGATGGAAAGCGGGAGACTGGGGCGGGGTGATGGAAAGCGGGAAATTGGGGCGGGGTGATGGAAAGCGGGAGAATGGGGCGGGGTGATGGAAAGCGGGAGAATGGGGCGGGGTGATGGAAAGCGGGAGAATGGGCCGGGGTGATGGAAGGAGGGAGAATGGGGCGGGGTGATGGAAGGAGGGAGAATCAGGCAGGGTGATGGAAGGAGGGAGAATGGGGCGGGGTGATGGAAAGCGGGAGAATGGGGCGGGGTCATGGAAAGCGGGAGAATGGGGCGCGGTGATGGAAAGCGGGAGAATGGGGCGGGGTGATGGAAAGCGGGAGAATGGGGCGGGGTGATAGAAAGCGGGAGAATGAGGCGAAGTGATGGAAGGAGGGAGAATGGGGCGGGGCGATGGAAGGAGGGAGAAGGGGGCGGGGTGATGGAAAGCGGGAGAATGGGGCGGGGTGATGGAAATCGGGAGAATGGGGCCGGGTGATGGAAAGCGGGAGAATGGGGCGGGATGATTGAAAGCGGGAGAATGGGTCGGGGTGATGGAAGGAGAGAGAATAGGGCGGGTTGATGGAAAGCAGGAGAATGGGGCGGGGTGATGGAAAGCAGGAGAATGGGGCGAAGTTATGGAAAGGGGGAGAATGGGGCGGGGTGATGGAAAGCGGGAGAATGGGGCGGGGTGATGGAAATCGGGAGAATGGGGCGGGCTGATGGAAAGCGGGAGACTGGGGCGGGGTGATGGAAAGCGGGAAAATGGGGCGGGGTGATGGAAAGCGGGAGAATGGGGCGGGGTGATGGAAAGCGGGAGAATGGGGCGGGGTGATGGAAAGCGGGAGAATGGGGCGGGGTGATGGAAGGAGGGAGAATGGGGCGGGGTGATGGAAGGAGGGAGAATCAGGCAGGGTGATGGAAGGAGGGAGAATGGGGCGGGGTGATGGAAAGCGGGAGAATGGGCCGGGGTGATGGAAAGCAGGAGAATGAGGCGGGGTGATGGAAAGCAGAAGAATGGGGCAGGGTGATGGAAAGTGGGAGAATGGGGCGGGCTGATGGAAAGCGGGAGACTGGGGCGGGGTGATGGAAAGCGGGAAAATGGGGCGGGGTGATGGAAAGCGGGAGAATGGGGCGGGGTGATGGAAAGCGGGAGAATGGGGCGGGGTGATGGAAAGCGGGAGAATGGGGCGGGGTGATGGAAGGAGGGAGAATGGGGCGGGGTGATGGAAGGAGGGAGAATCAGGCAGGGTGATGGAAGGAGGGAGAATGGGGCGGGGTGATGGAAAGCGGGAGAATGGGCCGGGGTGATGGAAAGCAGGAGAATGAGGCGGGGTGATGGAAAGCAGAAGAATGGGGCAGGGTGATGGAAATCGGGAGAATGGGGCCGGGTGATGGAAAGCGGGAGAATGGGGCACGATGATTGAAAGCGGGAGAATGGGTCGGGGTGATGGAAGGAGAGAGAATAGGGCGGGTTGATGGAAAGCAGGAGAATGGGGCAGGGTGATGGGAAGCAGGAGAATGGGGCGAAGTTATGGAAAGGGGGAGAATGGGGCGGGGTGATGGAAAGCGGGAGAATGGGGCGGGGTGATGGAAATCGGGAGAATGGGGCGGGGTGATGGAAAGCGGGAGACTGGGGCGGGGTGATGGAAAGCGGGAAAATGGGGCGGGGTGATGGAAAGCGGGAGAATGGGGCGGGGTGATGGAAAGCGGGAGAATGGGGCGGGGTGATGGAAAGCGGGAGAATGGGGCGGGGTGATGGAAGGAGGGAGAATGGGGCGGGGTGATGGAAGGAGGGAGAATCAGGCAGGGTGATGGAAGGAGGGAGAATGGGACGGGGTGATGGAAAGCGGGAGAATGGGCCGGGGTGATGGAAAGCAGGAGAATGAGGCGGGGTGATGGAAAACAGAAGAATGGGGCGGGGTGATGGAAAGCGGGAGCATCGGGCGGGGTGATAGAAAGCGGGAGAATGGGGTGGGATGATTTAAAGCGGGAGAATGGTGCGGGGTGATGGAAGGAGGGAGAATAGGGCGGGTTGATGGAAGAAGGGAGAATGGGTTGGGGTGATGGAAAGCGGGAGAATGGGGCGGGGTGATGGAAAGCGGGAGAATGGGGCGGGGTGATGGAAAGCGGGAGAATGGGGCGGGGTGATGGAAAGAGGGAGAATGGGGCGGGGTGATCGAAAGCGGGAGAATGGGGCGGGGTGATGGAAAGCGGGAGAATGGGGCGGGGTGATGGAAGGAGGGAGAATGGGGCTGGGTGATGGAAGGAGGGAGAATGGGGCGGGGTGATGGAAGGAAAGAAAATGGGGCGGGGTGATGGAAAGCGGGAGAATGGGGCGGGGTGATGGAAAGGGGGAGAATGGGGCGGGGTGATGGAAAGCGGGAGAATGGGGCGGGGTGATGGAAATCGGGAGAATGGGGCGGGCTGATGGAAAGCGGGAGAATGGGGCGGGGTGATGGAAAGCGGGAAAATGGGGCGGGGTGATGGAAAGCGGGAGAATGGGGCGGGGTGATGGAAAGCGGGAGAATGGGGCGGGGTGATGGAAAGCGGGAGAATGGGGTGGGGTGATGGAAAGCGGGAGAATGGGGCGGGGTGATAGAAAGCGGGAGAATGGGGCGGGGTGATGGAAAGCGGGAGAATGGGGCGGGGTGATGGAAAGCGGGAGAATGGGGCAGGGTGATGGAAAGCGGGAGAATGGGGCGGGTTGATGGAAAGCGGGAAAATGGGGCGGGGTGATGGAGAGCGGAAGAATGCGGCGGGGTGATGGAAAGCGGGAGAATGGGGCGGGGTGATGGAAAGCGAGAGAATGGGCCGGGGTGATGGAAGGAGGGAGAATGGGGCGGGGTGATGGAAGGAGGGAGAATCAGGCAGGGTGATGGAAGGAGGGAGAATGGGGCGGGGTGATGGAAAGCGGGAGAACGGGGCAGGGTCATGGAAAGCGGGAGAATGGGGCGGGCTGATGGAAAGCGGGAGACTGGGGCGGGGTGATGGAATGCGGGAAATTGGGGCGGGGTGATGGAAAGCGGGAGAATGGGGCGGGGTGATGGAAAGCGGGAGAATGGGGCGGGGTGATGGAAAGCGGGAGAATGGGGCGGGGTGATGGAAAGCGGGAGAATGGGGCGGGGTGATGGAAAGCGGGAGAATGGGGCGGGTTGATGGAAAGCGGGAGAATCGGGCGGGGTGATGGAAAGCGGGAGAATGGGGCGGGTGATGGAAAGCGGGAGAATGGGGCGGGGTGATGGAAAGCGGGAGAATGGGCCGGGGTGATGGAAGGAGTTAGAATGGGGCGGGGTGATGGAAAGCGGGAGAATGGGGCGGGATGATGGAAAGCGGGAGAATGGGGCGGGGTGATGGAAGGAGGGAGAACGGGGCGGGGTGATGGAAAGCGGGAGAATGGGGCGGGGTGATGGAAAGCGGGAGAATGGGGCGGGGTGATGGAAAGCGGGAGAATGGGGCGGGGTGATGGAAAGCGGGAGAATGGGGTGGGGTGATCGAAAGCGGGAGAATGGGGCGGGGTGATGGAAAGCGGGAGAATGGGGCGTGGTGATGGAAAGCGGGAGAATGGGGTGGGCTGATGGAAAGCAGGAGACTAGGGTGGGGTGATGGAAAGCGGCAAAATGGGGCGGGGTGATGGAAAGCGGGAGAATGGGGCGGGGTGATGGAAAGCGGGAGAATGGGGAGGGGTGATGGAAAGCGGGAGAATGGGGCGGGGTGATGGAAAGCGGGAGAATGGGGCGGGGTGATGGAAAGCAGAAGAATGGGTCGGGCTAATGGAAAGCGGGAGACTGTTGCGGGGTGATGGAAAGCGGGAAAATGGGGCGGGGTGATGGAAGGAGGGAGAATCAGGCAGGGTGATGGAAGGAGGGAGAATGGGGCGGGGTGATGGAAAGCGGGAGAATGGGGCGGGGTCATGGAAAGCGGGAGAATGGGGCGCGGTGATGGAAAGCGGGAGAATGGGGCTGGGTGATGGAAAGCGGGAGAATGAGGTGAAGTGATGGAAGGAGGGAGAATGGGGTGGGGCGATGGAAGGAGGGAGAAGGGGGTGGGGTGATGGAAAGCGGGAGAATGGGGCGGGGTGATGGAAATCGGGAGAATGGGGCGGTGTGATGGAAAGTGGGGGAACGGGGCGGGGTGATGGAAAGCGGGAGAATGGGGCGGGGTGATGGAAAGGGGGAGAATGGGGCGGGGTGATGGAAAGCGGGAGAATGGGACGGGGTGATGGAAATCGGGAGAATGGGGCGGGCTGATGGAAAGCGGGAGACTGGGGTGGGTTGATGGAAAGCAGGAAAATGGGGCGGGGTGATGGAAGGAGAGAGAATAGGGCGGGTTGAAGGAAAGCGGGAGAATGGGGCGGGGTGATGGAAAGCGGGAGAATGGGGCGGGGTGATGGAAAGCGGGAGAATGGGGCGGGGTGATGGAAAGCGGGAGAATGGGGCGGGGTGATGGAAATCGGGAGAATGGGGCGGGCTGATGGAAAGCGGGAGACTGGGGCGGGGTTGATGGAAAGCGGGAAAATGGGGCGGGGTGATGGAAAGCGGGAGAATGGGGCGGGGTGATGGAAAGCGGTAGAATGGGGCGGGGTGATGGAAAGCGGGAGAATGGGGCGGGGTGATCGAAAGCGGGAGAATGGGGCGGGGTGATGGAAAGCGGGAGAATGGGGCGGGGTGATGGAAAGCGGGAGAATTGGGTGGGGTGATGGAAAGCGGGAAAATGGGGCGGGGTGATGGAAAGCGGGAGAATGGGGCGGGTTGATGGAAAGCGGGAGAATGGGGCTGGTGATGGAAAGCGGGAGAATGGGGCGGGGTGATGGAAAGCGGGAGAATGGGCCGGGGTGATGGAAAGCGGGAGAATGGGGCGGGTTGATGGAAAGCGGGAGAATGGGGCTGGTGATGGAAAGCGGGAGAATGGGGCGGGGTGATGGAAAGCGGGAGAATGGGCCGGGGTGTTGGAAGGAAATAAAATGGGGCGGGGTGATGGAAAGCGGGAGAATGGGGCGGGGTGATGGAAAGGGGGAGAACGGGGCGGGGTGATGGAAAGCGGGAGAATGGGGCGGGGTGATGGAAATCGGGAGAATGGGGCGGGCTGATGGAAAGCGGGAGACTGGGGCGGGGTGGTGGAAAGCGGGAAAATGGGGCGGGGTGATGGAAAGCGGGAGAATGGGGCGGGGTGATGGAAAGCGGGAGAATGGGGCGGGGTGATGGAAAGCGCGAGAATGGGGCGGGGTGATGGAAAGCGGGAGAATGGGGCGGGGTGATGGAAAGCGGGAGAATGGGGCGAGATGATGGAAAGCGGGAGAATGGGGCGGGGTGATGGAAAGCGGGAGAATGGGGCACGGTGATGGAAAGCGGGAGAATGGGGCGGGGTGATGGAAAGCGGGAGAATGGGGCGGGGTGATGGAAGGAGGGAGAATGGGGCGGGGTGATGGAAGGAGGGAGAATGGGGCGGGGTGATGGAAAGCGGGAGAATGGGGCGGGGTGATGGAAGGAGAGAGAATGGGGCGGGGTGATGGAAAGCGGGAGAATGGGGCGGGGTGATGGAAAGTGGGAGAATGGGGCGGGGTGATGGAAAACAGGAGAATGGGGCGGGGTGATGGAAAACGCGAGAATGGGGCGGGGTGAAGGAAAGTGGGAGAATGGGGCGGGGTGATGGAAAGCGGGAGAATGGGGCGGGGTGATGGAAAGCGGGAGAATGGGCCGGGTTGATGGAAGGAGGGAGAATGGGGTGGGGTGATGGAAGGAGGGAGAATGGGGCGGGGTGATGGAAAGCGGGAGAATGGGGCGGGGTGATCGAAAGCGGGAGAATGGGGCGGGGTGATGGAAAGCGGGAGAATGGGGCGGGGTGATGGAAAGCGGGAGAATGGGGCGGGGTGATGGAATGCGGGACAATGGGGCGGGTTGATGGAAAGCGGGAGAATGGGGCGGGGTGATGGAGAGCGGGAGAATGGGGCGGGGTGATGGAAAGCGGGAGAATGGGCCGGGGTGATGGAAGGAGGGAGAATGGGGCGGGGTGATGGAAGGAGGGAGAATGGGGTGGGGTGATGGAAGGAGGGAGAATGGGGCGGGGTGATGGAAAGCGGGAGAATGGGGCGGGGTCATGGAAAGCAGGAGAATGGGGCGCGGTGATGGAAAGCGGGAGAATGGGGCGGGGTGATGGAAAGTGGGAGAATGGGGCGGGGTGATAGAAAGCGGGAGAATGAGGCGAAGTGATGGAAGGATGGAGAATGGGGCGGGGCGATGGAAGGAGGGAGAAGGGGGTGGGGTGATGGAAAGCGGGAGAATGGGGCGGGTTGATGGAAATCGGGAGAATGGGGCCGGGTGATGGAAAGCGGTAGAATGGGGCGGGATGATTGAAAGCGGGAGAATGGGTCGGGGTGATGGAAGGAGAGAGAATAGGGCGGGTTGATGGAAAGCAGGAGAATGGGGCAGGGTGATGGAAAGGGGGAGAATGGGGCGGGGTGATGGAAAGCGGGAGAATGGGGCGGGGGGATGGAAATCGGGAGAATGGGGCGGGCTGATGGAAAGCGGGAGACTGGGGCGGGGTGATGGAAAGCGGGAAATTGGGGCGGGGTGATGGAAAGCGGGAGAATGGGGCGGGGTGATGGAAAGCGGGAGAATGGGGCGGGGTGATGGAAAGCGGGAGAATGGGGCGGGGTGATGGAAAGCGGGAGAATGGGGCGGGGTGATGGAAAGCGGGAGAATGAGGTGGGGTGATGGAAAGCGGGAGAATGGGGCGGGGTGATGGAAAGCGGGAGAATGGGGCGGGGTGATGGAAAGCGGGAGAATGGGGCGGGTTGATGGAAAGCGGGAGAATCGTGCGGGGTGATGGAAAGCGGGAGAATGGGGCGGGGTGATGGAAAGCGGGAGAATGGGGCGGGTGATGGAAAGAAGGAGAATGGGCCGGGGTGATGGAAGGAGGAAGAATGTGGCGGGGTGATGGAAGGAGGGAGAATCAGGCAGGGTGATGGAAGGAGGGAGAATGGGGCGGGGTGATGGAAAGCGGGAGAATGGGGCGGGGTCATGGAAAGCGGGAGAATGGGGCGGGGTGATGGAAAGCGGGAGAATGGGACGGGGTGATGGAAATCGGGAGAATGGGGCGGGCTGATGGAAAGGGGGAGACTGGGGCGGGGTGATGGAAAGCGGGAAAATGGGGCGGGGTGATGGAAAGTGGGAGAATGGGGCGGGGAGATGGAAAGCGGGAGAATGGGGCGGGGTGATGGAAAGCGGGAGAATGGGGCGGGGTGATGGAAAGCGGGAGAATGGGGCGGGGTGATGGAAAGCGGGAGAATGGGGCGGGGTGATGGAAAGCGGGAGAATGGGGCGGGGTGATGGAAAGCGGGAAAATGGGGCGGGGTGATGGAAAGCGGGAGAATGGGGCGGGTTGATAAAAAGCGGGAGAATGGGGCGGGGTGATGGAAAGCGGGAGAATGGGGCGGGGTGATGGAAAGCGGGAGAATGGGGCGGGGTGATGGAAAGCGGGAGAATGGGCCGGGGTGATGGAAGGAGGGAGAATGGGGCGGGGTGATGGAAGGAGGGAGAATCATGCAGGGTGATGGAAGGCGGGAAAATGGGGCGGGGTGATGGAAAGCGGGAAAATGGGGCGGGGTGATGGAAAGCGGGAGAATGGGGCGGGTTGATAAAAAGCGGGAGAATGGGGCGGGGTGATGGAAAGCGGGAGAATGGGGCGGGATGATGGAAAGCGGGAGAATGGGGCGGGGTGATGGAAAGCGGGAGAATGGGGCGGGGTGATGGAAAGCGGGAGAATGGGGCGGGGTGATGGAAAGCGGGAAAATGGGGCGGGGTGATGGAAAGCGGGAGAATGGGGCGGGTTGATAAAAAGCGGGAGAATGGGGCGGGGTGATGGAAAGCGGGAGAATGGGGCGGGGTGATGGAAAGCGGGAGAATGGGGCGGGGTGATGGAAAGCGGGAGAATGGGCCGGGGTGATGGAAGGAGGGAGAATGGGGCGGGGTGATGGAAAGCGGGAGAATGGGGCGGGGTGATGGAAAGCGGGAGAATGGGGCGAGATGATGGAAAGCGGGAGAATGGGGCGAGGAGATGGAAAGCGGGAGAATGGGGCGGGGTGATGGAAAACGGGAGAATGGGGCGGGGTGATGGAAAGCGAGAGAATGGGGCGGGGAGATGGAAAGCGGGAGAATGGGGCGGGTTGATGGAAAGCGGGAGAATGGGGCGGGGTGATGGAAAGTGGGAGAATGGGCCGGGTTGATGGAAGGAGGGAGAATGGGGCGGGGTGATGGAAGGAGGGAGAAACGGGCGGGGTGATGAAAGGAGGGAGAATGGGGCGGGGTGATGGAAAGCGGGAGAATGGGGCGGGGTGATGGAAAGCAGGAGAATGGGGCGGGGTGATGGAAGGAGGGAGAATGGGGCGGGGTGATGGAAAGCAAGAGAATGGGGCAGGGTGATGGAAAGCTTGAGAATGGGATGGGGTGATGGAAAGCGGGAGAATGGGGAGGGGTGATGGAAAGCGGGAGAATGGGGCAGGGTGATGGAAAGCGGGAGAATGGGCCGGGTTGATGATAGGAGGGAGAATGGGGTTGGGTGATGGAAGGAGGGAGA